TCACTTGAATAGAGCAAAGAGCCCTGAGAACAGCTTAAGCAGAGCTTATATACTTTCCTTGGAGAGGGCAGGGAGAGAAGTTCATTGACGGGTCAGGGCGAGTGGGCGGTTTGCCTGCAACCGGGTGAGGGGATACATTCTGCAGTTTGGCAGTTGGGGACAGCACATTCTGGGAACAAGATTAGCAAACAGTTCTCAAGATTATTAACCTTTCAATATATGTACATATATATTGCGTATTAAATCAGAAGTAACAATATCGTTATAATCAGAACCAATGCATAGTATTTTCAAAAACAAAATATACTCTTTTCCTAATACTTTTTTTGGTCTTTTTCTCCCTGAAGAAAACCCAAAACCACAAAGTCCTTAGGAGACAATAGCAAAAACTGGGGTGAGATGTGGGGTTGGGGACATGGTGGTAGTAGGAATATTTTGCAGAAGGAGAAAGAGGAATGTAAATATAATTGTGAATACTGCTTCTAGGTCAGGCAGGCAACTGATAGTATTTTTTTCATTTGCAGGATAGCAAGAACAACTTGAGAGTTTATTTGTTATCATGTCATCCATCAACAGATTAAAAACAATAAATCAAAATAGAATAAGCAAACAACATCTCCTGGAGCAGATAAATGAAAAGCGTGAAACCAACTGTTTTGTGGAAAGAAGCAATCAAGTCAGCTTCCTGAGAGTTCAGAAGAGGCACTTCAGTGGTGCCCATCAGTCATGTGTTTTCACCCATTTCAATGAAGGTATTTCTGAGAGCAGCAGGAGCTCCTGGGTCCAACCAAGTGTCTTTGTTCACCCAGAGAAAAGGCACTTTGAGCCAAAAAGTAAGATGTTACAGGAGAATTCCTACTCTTCATAGGAAGAATTCATAAGAAAATTTAGGAAAAAAATTCTGGGGTCAAAAGAGGTTCCTATATATTATGGTTTGGATATACAGTGTCTCCCCCAAAATTCATGTGTTAAAAACATGATATCCGGGGCTGAGGCTGTGGCTCAGCGGTAGAGCACTTGCCTTGCATGAGCGAGGCACTGGGTTCGATCCTCAACACCACATAAAAATAAACAAATAAATAAGAGATACAGTTAAAAAAAAGAAAAGAAAACATGATATCCAATGTAGCAATGTTCAGAAGTGAAATGATTAGATATGAAAGCTGTAATCTCATCAGTGAATTAATCCATATGGTAGATTAATAATTTGAAACTGACTACTGAGTGTTAACTATAGGCAGAAAGAGTGAGTTTGGAGGAAGTAGGTTATTGGATGCATGCCATTGGGGATTATATCTTGTCCCTGGCTTCTCATGAGGTGCCTCTCCCCTCCCCCTCCCCTCTCTCTCTTTCTCTCTCCCTCTTCCTGGCTGCCATAAAATGAGCAGCTTTCTACCACCATTCCCTTCCACCATGCTGTTCTGCCTTACCTGGGCCCAGAGCAATGAAGTCAATTAACCATGAACTGAACCTCTGCAACCGTGAGCAAAATAAAACTTTTCTTCTTTCAGTTGTTTTTGTCAGGTATTTTGTCATAGCTACTATGTCACAGCAATGGAAAGCTGACTAACACACTAGGTATTACCCTGAAATACTTTAATCTGTCTGAAGGAAAAAGTATCAGTAAATTAGGCTGGTTTGTATAAGATCCACCAGAGTTCAGACCTTCAGTTTCTTGTGCCTATACAGAATCCCAGACCCAGGCTGATTCATTCAATAGGCTCTAGTCTGGGTCCTGAAATCTGGATTCTCAAAAGACTATGGTGATTGTGATGCTGGTGACCTTAGGACCACATTTTTAAAAATAGTTGTTACATATAATTGTGATAGATCCCAAGAACTTCAGAGACCCCCCATCTCACCAATTTCTGTTGCCTTCTGCAAACATTTCATGTGCAAAATTGAAGCAAACGAAAAATGATTTTGATGATAAAAGTCACACAATAGCCTTGAAAGCAATAATTAAAAAAAAAAAAGTGGAGGGAGTTTGGGTGGAAGGCAATGGTATGGGGTAGTGGTATTATTTTTCAGGAAGAAGAAGTCATAAATGCCAGTTATTTTGGTATTGTTATAAATATTGACTTCTTTCTTAGTCAAGGCAGTCAACAGGTAATATTTTCTCAATTGTGGAGGGTTGGGGGAAGTGTGCATATGTAATTATATTTAATACAACCAATACTTTATTTAGTTCAGAAGCTAAAGAATGGACCACATTGGAGATTTAATTTTTTGATGTGACTGTGACTTCCATTTGGTCTGAGCTCTTAGTAAGTGTTATAGGGAAGTGATGCAGTGTGACATAGAAAGCCAAAAGGATGCATTGTATTTTAAAATTAATCTATAACAATCCTGTTTTTTTTTCCTTGCAGGGTAGGGTGTGTACTGGGAATTGAACCCAGGAGCATTTAACTACTGAGACACATCCCAGACCTTTTCTGTATTTTATTTAGAGACAGGGTCTCACTGAGTTGCTTAGTGCCTTGCTTTTGCTGAAGCTGGCTTTGAACTTGTGATCCTCCTGCCTCAGCCTCCCAAGCTGAGGTGCACCGGCCATGTTTTACTCAAAAAATACTTTTTACAAAGAGTATTGCTCATTCTAAGAGAAAAAGCATAATCTTTTATTCTGGTTGAATTATTTGGAACTAGAAGAATTAATTCATAGCTACTATGTTAGTTGTCACAAGTTTGATAGTGGAGGGAAAAATCTGCCTCCAAGACAAACATAGTGTACAACTTTACATGAATATACATGGCTTTTTACAATACACAATCTAACACATGGAATCCCCATAAACAAATTTTATGGTATAAAGTTTATAAGCCAAAATCTTAGATCATTAAAAAAAACTCCCAGGGTTGCGGTTGTGACTCAGTGGTAGAGCATTTGCTTACCATGTATGAGGCACTGGGTTTGATCCTCAGCACCCCATTAAAAAAATTAAATAAAGGTACTGAAAAAGAAAAAGTCTGCAGATGTGGCTCAGTGGTTTAATGCCCCTAGGTTCAATCCTTGGTACCAAAAATTTAAAAATAAATAAGTAAAATGATTTAAAAAAATAACCCTCTAAATATTTTAGAAAAAATCTTTGCCCCTTTTAACTAAACAGATTTAAACAACAATTTAACTTTATGGTGCATGGATACAGGATAAGTATAGACCTAATTTAAATGCTAGGAAATTGGTATGTAAATACACAGTGTTACTGTTTGGACATGAGGTGTCCCTCCAAAGCTCCTACGTGAGATAACAAAAGAATGTTCAGAGGTGAAATGATTAGGTTGTGAGAGCCTTGACCTAATCAGTGGATTTATTCACTGGTATGAATTAACTGAATGGTAACTGTAGGCAGGTCGAGTGTGGCTGGAGGAAGCAGGTCACTAATGGTGTACCTTTGAGGTTTATATATTGTCCCTGGTGGGTGGAGATCTCTATCTGCTTCCTGGCAGCCATTTCCTCAGCTTCTTTCCTCCACCACACCCTTCTACTATGATGTCCTGCCTCATCTCAGGCCCAGAGCGATGGAGTCAACTGCCCACGTGCTGAACCTCGAGAACCATGAGTCAAAATGAACTTTTCCTCCTCAGGTTGTTCTTGTCAGGTGTTTTGGTCACAGCAATACAAAAGCTGACTCTAACACATTATCTGTATTAGTAATCTAAACTAGTCGTTCTCAAAAGTGTGGCTCAGGGATCCTTGGGTACTTGAGTCTTTTTCAGGAGTCTGCAAGGTCAAAACTGTTATTATAATAATACTATGTTTGTTTATTTGTTTTGTACAGAGGATTGAACCCAGGGGTGCTTAGCCACTGAGCCCCACCTTTAGACCTTTGCATTTTGAGACAGGGTCTCTCTAAGTTGCTGAGGCTGGTCTAGAAATTCCAATCCTTCTTCCTGACCCACCCTAGTCACTGGAATTACAGGCACACACCACCATGCCCAACACATTTTATTTTCTTATTTCCACAAGTGGAAAGTACCTGGGCTAAAGAAAAAAGGCATGCTACTTTAAAAAAAAATCTTTTTAGTGCCTACTTTATTCTGAATACTATTAAGGTTTCTTTGTTCCTAAACTGAGTTTAGATCACTTGAGAAATAGAGGTAAAATTGTTGGCATCCTTATTAAAAAAAAAAAAATCTGTATTGGAGGAATTTGCTAAAGAGCAGCCAAATGGCCAACTTGCCCCTAAAGGGAATTTACCCCATCTTGAAACAGAACTTCAGACCTGCTACTGGAGAACAGATAAGAGAGTGCCCTCCAGGAGACCAGCAGAGGCATTTTACAAATGAGGAGATGGAATGTTACCTCTAAAGTTGGATAGACATATTACTGTGGTAGGCTCTCAAGAAACATTCATTAAATCAAACAATAAACATCATTCATGATAAAATAACATCTTCTTTAGAGAAGCTGACCCTCTCCTGTCCTGTGGATATTGAAGAACAGCAAAACACCAAACATCTCTAGGTGATCTTGACCGAGATAGCTCGTGGAACTTAACCTGTAAGAGTACTTAAAATATCATTTCTGTCTGCTGACACCCACATTTTCTATTTCTGACCCTGATCTCTCTTCTAACTTTCAGATTTATTTGCATATCAGATTGCACCTATCAGACTGCCCCTTGCACTTGAGGCCATCTCCAATCTACCATTGCTAAAACAGAATTCCCTGCTAAAGCAGGGATCATATGTGGTTTTTCATTGTTTTATCTTCATTGCCTATAACAGTGTCTGGCACAAATTAGGCACTCAGAAAATATTGGCTGACTGAATACTGACTAGGACATGGCATATGCTTTTCTAGAATTCCTGTTCCCCACCCCAAACTCACACACTCACTTCCACTTAATCTCATTTTCTGCATCTCAGAAAATGGCCAGAGACAAAGGAAAGCCTCTGATTCCTCTCCTTTCCCTCATGTCCCTTACTCACTCTGTTAACAAGTCCTGTGAACATCTTCAAAATCAGCCCTGAGTCCAACCACTGTTACTACCCTGATCTAATCCATAGCCATCTGTCTCTAGAAATATAGCAGGGGCCTTCTGAGGGTCCCTAGCTTCCACTCTTGCTGTCCCCTCCCCTGTGTTTACTTTGCACAACAACCTAAGTGACTTTTACAAATCTTATGTTACAGAGGTCACTTGTTCAAAACTCACCCAAGGTTTCACCCCACACTTAGGATAAAATGCACGCTCCTCTCCCTGTGCTTCTGGTGCCCCATGAACAGTCCCAGAGTTTACCTTTTCAACCATCTCCTCTACTCACCCTGGTCTCCTTCCACGCAGCCACCATGGCTTTGCTTTCTTCCTCCTCTGGGACAAACCAAGTTGGTTTCCACCTCAGGAACATGGCCACATGCTGTTCCCTCTGCCAGGGGGTCTCTCTTTCTGTCTTTAAGTGGACCTTTGCTTGACCTCAGTTTGTCTAAATAGCATTCCTTAACACTTGACAACCCTGTCCAGATTTCTCTATCAATGTCTGCCGAATGCTAAGCTCCTTGAAAGCAGGGATCATATGTGGGTTTTCATTGTTTTATCCTCATTCCCTATAACAGTGTCTGGCACAAATTAGGCACTCAGAAAATATTGGCTGACTGAATCAATACTGACTGGGACATGGCATATGCTTTTCTGGAAGTAGTGGTGGCTCTTACCTCATTCCCTTAAGACCAATCGTCATGCTCTTGAGTGATGGCCCCAAAACTTAGAATTTCCCATGGCAACCTGTTGGCTGCTGTAGAATATTTGTTAGAAGTGGAAGAAGAAAATTACAAGGTACATTTTGCTCAATATTTTTTAAAAATATTTTTTAGTTGTAGATGAACACAATACCTTTATTTATCTTTATATGGTGCTAAGGATGGAACCCAGGATCTCACACATGCCAGGCAAGCACTCCACCACTGAGCCACAACCCCAACCCCATTTTGCTCAATATTAACAGTGAAAAT